ATAATGACTATGATATTAGTAATGAGGATAACGTTGATGATGAAAATGAAGATATTGAAAATGAAGATAGTGAATATAAAGATAAAGATAATAATCATAGCTCTACATCAACCTCATCTAAAGAGATTCTTACTTACATTGGACACGTACTTGGATATAATATTCTAATTGAAGTATCACAATCGAACCCATCTATACCTGCATCAACTCTACTAAAATACAATATGGCTAATGTCAATGATTTAAATGCTGCTGCTATTTATCAACAAGAAATCAAAGAATTCTTGAAATCTACTACAAAATGTCTCCAAGAATTACAGAATAACCTAATATTTCTTCAAAATCTAGTTAAATCTAAACATTCACTGGCACAAGAACATTTTAACTATAGCAACCAGAATACTTTAATATCTCACCTTTATAATATTTTACTTTAGATAATTTCAAAAAAGCACAAAATCTAGTCAATGTTGTATACAAAGAAACAGGTCATCATAGATCCGTAGCTTCCGATACCAATATTATTTCCCTTGAAAAAAAAAAAACAGCAGCAGAAACCATCATACCAAAGTTAAACTATAAGATATGGGATATATAGCGTGGTTACCTATTTAATAAAGTATAACCAATATAATGTATGTTTAGTAAAACATTTACATAAATTTCTTAGAATTTTCTATTGCTTATCTATGTATTATTTGTTGTACCCACATAAATATAGCATTTCTAAAATTTAAAATATGTGGTACCCGTATACTATGCTTTATAATATTAAAAAGAAAAAAAACTTAACGATAATGGTGTAAATATAAGTATTAAAGTATTATTAACTTTTTAATTAAACAGCATATATATGTAACTTATGCTGAACGCTACAGTTTGCTTATTTTTTTTTAAAGTTTTTATTTATTTATTTATTTAATACCTGTACTGAATATTACTAAGTCCATACTTTCTCTAATTTTTTTTCTAGAATTTAGCACCGGCTTTGAAGAATGTAAAACTATTAAGTTGATTACGCGAATAATACGAAACTTAAAAAAAATTTAATAGCGATAATTGTGTAACAGAAACGGTGGGCAGTGATGTTAAATCAATATCTACTATGATCGACATGAAAAATGGGTTGGTAAAATCGGTCACTTTATTTATGAAGATATAACCCTAACCATTGGCAATATGTTCAATATCCCAAACCCAATTATCTCGTACAATACTGTCTAGAAGAGTGTGTAGTCAAACGAGTTGATATGAGCTTTCCTACTACCCTCAAACCAATTATACTGTATATCTTAATTTAAAAATTAAAGTTATGGGTGGATACGGAATATTCATAGATTCGAAGTCAAATTAATTTGATTTTAAATCTTAGGTTGTAGCAGAAAAGTAATTATATTTTTTAAACTATTTAAAGCAATCATATTTTATTCTCAACCTAAAATATCGATATTTAGAGACATGCTTTTATATAGTGGTTTGGTCAATAAATATCTTGGAAGAAGTCTTAACCAACAGATCTTATTATCGATACGGTATATCGTTTACGATATGAAAGAAGAGCTCTAGTATAGACGAACTTATATTACTAGAAATCAAAAACTTGATGTTTGTTAAATAAAGTTATTAATGTACATGAAACTAAAAAACAAAACCTACCGCTAACTGGCATTAAAATTCAATTGCAAAGAGTGAAGAGACAAGTAAAAATAATTCTTACAAGTGTAGATGCTCTAGTTATTATATGCATGTGAGTGTCATCCACACTCATTAATAATTGTATATGCATTTAAAAAAAAAAAAAAACCATTAAGTAAAAAGGATAATAATTTTTTAAGCCATAAAAACTTAATAAATTGGTTCTCATAACCTAGCCGGGTTTGCTGGATCATTTATTGAAATTTTTTCACCAAAAAATTAACTTTGTATGATAATTTTGGTTTGCTTGTTTGTTTTTAAATAAGTGGATTTAGAATCAACTTAAGTCTATTGATACAGTATTCCTGTATCATTAATATTTGAACAACTTCACACGAAGATACGGTTTACATAAAAAAAAAGCTTTATTGGAAAATTTTTATTTTTCTCGTCGAAAAATCAATGTTCAACATCCTCTAAGTTTTCTTAATCTAACAAGGTTCTTTCAACAGCATTAAGCCATTTTGTAAGTGAGATTTGATAAATTTTTTTTTGGGATGTTAAAGTGGTCGATCAGAACACCTACTACCGTATACTGAGAGTCACAATCAGGTCATGATTCCCTTATAGATCCAGGCCCATACGGTGTAGTGATTCTAGGCCGAGCATAATTTTTCGGCATGACCAAGCCGATAAATTTTATCGGCTTAGTCGGCTTGGTCGAACCTACAGTACTATTTAATTTTGTTCTTTAATCTGGAATTTACAAAAATTTTTGGTTCACTTTACTCGTATTTTAGGTTCATTCATTTTCTATATCGGAAATTTTCGTAATGGCATATTTTGGCCATACCAAATCGACCGGCTAAGCCGATAATTTTCTTTAGCCGATTTTTTTCACTATCGGCCAAAATCACTATATTCTTCCATTCACTGATTTTTTCTTCATAATTGCAGACAATTTATTTATATCGATAATATCTATTAAGATATTTCGGTAAAAAAGTGAATCTCATCTCTCGGTTTCTTGTCAATACGATTAGCAGTCGAACTATCCTGTAAAAATCGTTTATACTTACACATAGTTCATTCCTTATTCTCCACATTCCCCAATGTCAAAATGTTCTATTAATATATCCATTCTCAAATACACGTACAATCTATATATAACATATATATATACAATATGATATATGCTGAAATACGTGCATACATGCATATATGTACGTACGTACGGTGCGTACTTTTTTATGAGTGACTTAGATTGAACGTTATTGGAGCAACGTCAAACACGAGTGATCCAACCTTTATTCGTTATTTTCTTTATGTTGTAAAGAAAATATTTTTGTTGATAATATATATTTTTTTAAAAGGTTTTAAATTTTTAATTGGTTCAAAACCATTATTAATAACTTATCTTTTTAGGAATTCACTCAAAAGGTCTGGTAAACCAAGTACAGTAATGACGTAACATTAAATGTAGCTTATTGCATCACGTCAACGTCCTAATTCTAAATTTTTATTACCTTCACGCACTTAATACTTGTTTATATTAAATTTCTTTTTTTTTACTCATTCAAATTTACCCGTGCAATAAATTCGGACTATTATTACCGTGTCAACAGAAAACTATGATTTATACAAATGGACAAAAATTATGAATCAGAAATTGCTTATCTTGTTTTCGTGTTCTCTTACATTGCTCGAATACAATCTTGCACAACATTGCACTTGTTGGCGCTCATTGTAATGTGTAACAAACGAAATACGCCACATCATAACATGGACTGCGCTTATAAAGAAATTAACAAATGAGTGGCGCATTTCGAAAATAAGTAGGATTTTTTCAATAGTATTTTTACTATGTTGAATTATAAATCGGAAAAATTAAATAAGATTCTCTGATTTTAATTTTGAAATCCCTTAATATCGTATAATCACAAATAAGAGGGATGATCCTAATTTTAAACGCTTTGTTTAAAATAATGCACTCCAAAATATCAAAATAACGCGCAGATAAAACCTCTTATGATATATCGTATTTTAAAATTCGAGGCTTCAAGCATGTACAGGTAATACAAACAATATATCATACGATAAAAAGTGGCGCATTGTTGTTCTTTCATATTGGGATCACAACATTTCTAATGTTGTTTGCGGTGTAATAGTCTGGCGGAATTTCTTTATAAAATTAACAAAAATAGGCCTATAATGGACTTGCTTTTCCATCGATAAAATGTAAGTTATGTATGTAATAAAAATTCAGTTTATCAATAGCACCAATACAAAATGTTTATTCAATATTAAAAATCACAAAAAGTTGTTTATTTCACAATTGCTTAATAAAAGCGAGAATGGTCGTCAATTTATTCACATAACATATAATACATATAACATATGTACGTGTACCTTCATTGAGGATATGTAAAGTGTAACATTATGAATCTTGGCTTGGTTATTATCGTATATCGATATCGAAAATATATATATGTAAGCTTTGAAGAGTAAATCACGACGGAACTAATCAATTAAACTCTTTCTTTTCTTAAAGGAAAGAGAACATATCCCAACCAATTTTTTAATATATATATATTTTCTTCACCTTTGTTGCGTAAAGAAAACTTTTTTAACGATAGACTTGATAGACTAGTCTTATTAGTTGTATTATACCTTGTAAAACCTTATTTAAGTTATAATCTGCTCAAAGTAAAAAAATGCAACAACAAACTTACAACGAATTGCCACCAGCCTATACTGAGAGTTGCAAAACCTCTGATGGTTCTGAATCCTGTGGTAGGGAATATAATAATCATATATATAATGGATATACTGGATATAGTGCCAAGGTTAGCGAATGCAATCTCAAGGTTCGAATGGGTAAGAATTATAATTATGAATGAATAAAGCTTTTTTTTTTCGTACAGTATAACATCCAATTGAGGATTAATCGATCAACATTTATTATTATTAGCATTCGTGCGCAAAGTTTATACAATTTTGTTTGCACAAATCTCCCTATCAACCTCTGTTGCCGCATTGATGATGTATAATAGTAGTGTCAAATATTGGGTTCAATCACAGTATGTTTTCTATTAAATCAATATACATATATATGGGGTTGAGTCAATAGAAATCAAGCAAATATTTTTTAATAAATTTTTTTAAAACTTTAAACAAGAATAA